TGATCTCTGACAACGGGCACCCAGTTTGTGACGGTCGCCTATTCAGAGGATTTTGTGGAGATTTGAAGATAGAATTCTACAACTCCACCCCGGCTTACCGCAGTCGAGTCCAATGGTCAAGCCGAAGCATCGAACAAGACTATACTGGATGGGTTGAAGAAACGGCTGGAAAAGGCCAAGGGCAAATGGGCTGAGGAATTACCTAGCGTCCTTTGGGCATACCGAACAACCCCGCGACGTTCTACCGGGGAAACTCCATTTGCTTTAGCTTACGGCATGGAGGCGGTCATACCCTTGGAAGTTGAAATGCCCACCCTCAGAAGCGAGAGTTTTGAGCCCGAGCTGAACACCGAGGCTATTGCCTTGGAGCTGGACCTAGTGGACGAGCGTCGGGAGAAGGCCCTCATCCATGTGGCCGCCTACCAACAGGAGCTCTCAAAGAAGTATAACAAGACGGTGCACCCCAGACCGTTCAAAGTTGGTGATTGGGTTTTGAGGAAGATTATGGGCAACACCCTGGTTCCAGGAGAAAGAAAACTAGGGGCAAATTGGGAAGGACCCTACAAGATCACCGGTCTGGCGGGCAAGGGGGCTTACCACTTGGAGGATCTAGAGGGATTGAGTATCTTACCTGTGAAGGGTTGGAGGTGTTCTTCCTGGCACGAAGAATGGCAGTCGAATTCGAGAGGAGATAGCTCGAGCTCAGAATCGTCAGGAATAGAAGAAGCAATAGGCAGAAATTGTATAATGGAGGTCTTGTATGTATAGGCAGGAGGGAGTCCGCCCAAATTCAAATTCTGGCAAAAACGATGGGTTGGCTGCCCGATGACCAATGGCAGCCCGCCACGTGTCCCCATTTATGGCTACGTCAGGACTGAAGCGACGGGTTGAAAAGACGAAGAGCCAACCGAGCTACTTTCGACGAAGAGGATGTCAGCCAAGGAATATAACCGGGCAAGTTTGCAGACAGTTATGTTAACTAGCCCGGTCGAGGTTTGGCATCTTGAAGACCGGAGAAATGTTATCTCGGTCGAAGTGAGTAATCCCAATCACGCTTTCGTGGACGGAATTAAGGGGCAATTGAGAGGGCGATTTATGATCTGGAGTTGGGCCGAGGTAGCGACTGAGCAGGTTGAGAGCCCAGCAGCGCATAGGGCCGAGATGATTGACTATTCGCCCATAGATGGGCTGCCAGAACTTGGGCCGGGCAAAACTTGGGCCGAGTACGTCCCGCCCCAGACCGTAAAGAAGCGGCTCGGCAAGGCAGTGCTCGGTCGGACCGGGATGCTCGGTCCGAGGATAGCCGAAGCCAGACAAGCCGAGTGACCGGCGCCCGGAAAGGCGCGGTCAGCCGAGGTTACCGTTTGACCGGCAGGAAAGCCGACCACAGGGGGTGCTTCGGGCTAGGCTTTGCCGAGATGCCGCCTAGCTCGGTCCTCCTTGCTCTTTGCCAGTAAAGTGCTTGGGTATGAAGCACGGCACGGCGCAGCAACGCATAGAGTAGCTCGGCTGCCGAGCTCCAGCTGTGGTGGCGGGCAGTTGAGATTAGGTGATGTTCAGCAAGGTCTATGTTGACAGATGGGATAAGCGGAGCCACGTGTCAGGAGATGACTAGGAGTAGATATGGGGCACAGAGGGTATAAAAGCATGTCTGCGCCCCCCATACGCGACAGATGAACACATTGTAAGGAAATTCTTACATTCAAACACTCCTCCCTCTCTCTCTCTCTATCAGAAGGTGTGTGCTAACTTAATCGTCGGAGGGTTTTTCCGGCCACACACCGCCGGGTAGCTCACCCTTATTGGCTCGTAGGTGATCGGACATAAACGGAGCTTGGAAGAAAGGAGTACGGGCTCGCCGGAATATTTGCTCCCCGCACAAATGTGTTTAGGCTTAATGGGTTCATTTTGTGTTCTAATTCGATGATCACTTTAATTTTACAATTTAATAACTAGAATATTTAAAACTCTTTGAAAAGTTATAATAAAAACACAAATCACTAAATCACCTCATTTCAACAAAACTTTTGCTGATGAATAGTGTTATCGTCGCTAGATGTTTAACTCTTTGCCCACGCCAACTTGTCGTCACCAAAAGTAAGCACACTAATAACAACGCTTATTGTGTTGCTAAAAAATAAATTTCGTAGCTAAAATTTTTAAAATGTTGGCGTTTGGCGAATGTTATGTTTTTTTTAGCGATGAAAGTAAATTGCGGTGGTAAAAATAGTCGCCAAAAGTGTAATTTCTTATAGTGTATATTATTATATTACTATATTATTCATACCATATATAACTATTTTAAAAATTTTAAAATTCATGATAAAAATTAGGAATTTTCCCAAATATTTTGATTTAATTTATGGAGGAGGTGAGCTTATGATGCATAGGCAGAAGTGATTATAGACCAAAAACATTGGAAATAAAATAATATTGTAAAATCTCTCACGATTAAATTTATAATATCATTTCTTAGTAGTGTCCCTTGCTCATAAAAAGTATTTTGATTTTGGGATGTTTTGACTAGGTTCATTTTAGTGTGACTTATTAATACACTGGGCCATGCTACTGACCCCTAGTGGGGTGACCCCCACTGACAACCCCCAGTGAAGTGTCACCCCCCCTATTGGCTGAAAAAAAAAAAAACAAAAACAAAACAAACAAATAAACAAACAGTTTTTGGGCCAATGAAAAACGACCCCCAGTGACCCCCACTGGGGGTGTTAGGCATTTTTCTAATACACTAGTTTGGGGTTATTTGAAATGATTTAAATAAGTGTACTTTTTTATTTTTTATAAAATATAAGTTGGATTTGAAGTAATGTGATAGAGAGGTGATGTGATTTAAATAAGATGATGTGACTTAAATAGTACAGTGACTTTTTAACTTTTTTGTGTTATGCCAAACCTAACCTAGATCTACATAATAAATTCGTATTTTAAAGATTTCTATTTGGTATTTTTTTTCTAAGCATAATTTATGAATGGTTTTTAGATTTGTTATGGTTATTCATGTCTCATTCTGTGAATCTAGTGCATAGAATGAAAAATACTTTGAAAATAATTGAGGAGAGAGTCTGGCTTTTTCAAGCAATTTGATTTACATATAAGTACTTTGAAAAATCTATTAATTAAGGGATTGAAAGGAGAAGATGCCACGTGAAAGATAATTGTGGAGAGAGTCTGACTTTTTCAAGGGATTTGATTTACACATAAATAATTTGAAAAATCTATTAATTAAGGGATTCGAAAGGTCAAAAATAAAAAAAATTAAAATGTGTTACTATAATGATCAAATAATTAATTACTACCTTAAAATATATATATAATTAAATTATTAAAAAAACATGTGCCTTTTTGTATTTTGTAGATTTAGAATTTTCAAAAAGAAAAAAAAAAGGGTTTTTTTTTTAAGGTCCTTGATGAAGACGATCGAGAGGTCTTTCAGTGAGTGGAAAGAGATGAGCCAGTGAAACTTTCATCTGATATATGTTTAGGGACCTTAGACATCAAAAAATAATTTTGTGGATCTCTTCCATTACGAAAAGTGGAAGAGGGACCCTAGACCGATTTTCCTAAAAAAAAATGAATTAATACTTTGGAATCTAAAAATTACACAGTATTTTTGTTTTATATAATAATATTTTTCACTCTACGTCTTATACAACGAGGTAAATTGATTGTAAAAAAAAAATAAAAAATAAAAAGAGAGAGAGAGAAGGAAATATGAAAAGAAATAGTTTACATTTCAATTTTTTTAAAATTTTCTTTTCAAAAGGACTTACTCGAAATTCAAGATTCAAGAGAATATGAGCATTTGGGAGGGATAGACACCCAAACAATTGCCTCTTTTCTTGATCTTAGGAATTTAGATTCTAACACACTCCATATGTTGAAACAAGACAAATATTATCTCCAATTCTAATTCTAGAGAAAGATATACATATACAAAGTCAAAATCACCACAGAAAAAAATAACAATGATGATAACAACCCATCACAAATTTGATTTAATAAAAAACATGCCTATATATTCAAAGGATATGATATTATGGTTAATTTGCCAGTAATGTACTAGCTATATATATGCATTGATCATGGTTAGTTCTTGCTTATTTTTTCAAGTTGAAATTATTTACAATAATGTTATACCATATGCAATTTATGACATAATTCAATCATATGAGAGTTATAACTATTAAAAAAATAAGTTATACACAAATACCACATAAAGTATAAACCTAGAAATGAGTCATCACTATTCAAAGAGAAAGATTTTGTTGTATAATTATTACCAACTTTCCCAATCAGTACTTAAATAGAAAGATTGTGATAGGCATACAATTTATAATTCCAGATCACCCCGGATTTTATTTTTTTAATAAGTTAAGTTTTGCTCTTCAAATTTTAATGAAAATTCAAACAAATTTGTCCTTAGTAGGAGTGCCTTAATTGCACACTCAACATCAAGTTAGTTATTTTGTTTGATTCAAACTTTAAAATTTTGTTTGATTCAAACTTTAAAATGTCATAAATTTTGATTGTATATATTCTTTTTAAATAAAATTAAAAAAATTAGAACCTATTTATGGTGATATAAAATCAAAGTGGATTATGAAATTATGCATATAAAAAAATTAATAAATTTAACAGTTTTTGAAATAAATTTCTTAGTCTTCTAAATTGTGAAATTCGAACTAAAAAATTTATTAGTTGGGCTCTGGATCCCAACAACAATAAGAGGCTAAACTTATGCCCAAAAAAGAAAGCCCTTAGGCTCTAACAGTCCATCCATCTTACTGGTTTTTTACATGGAATACACTCGAGATAAATTTGGATCCTCTCCCTTATATCATCCATGGTTGTGAAAGAATCCCATTATCTTATCTTTATTTTCAATTTTAAAAATAACTAAAACAAAATGACACAGTAATTATAAACAATTAATTTTTAAATTTAATGATATCTCATAACATTATACAATCCAATAATATGAAGAATGTGTTAAAATGGTATATGCAATCCATGCAATTATACCAAAACTTTCATTACTTTTATTACACATATACATGATAGTTCAAGTGATGCAAAGCTGCAAAGTAAATTCAGACGAGAGCTAAAACAGTAATGTTATGTGCACACAAAAAAATCTGTGTGTTAATTTTATTATGGTTGTGATCCCCGCCATACGAAGAATAAATCTGAGCCGTATTGATTTTTTCGTGCACTTTTCTATAAACTTTATCTTGTCATGACCCTCTTTGTAATATAGTCGCATAAAAATAATAGACTATACATTTTAAATGACCTGCAGTTTCTTCTCTCCTTGGCATTTTCCAGCGCCCTTTCCCTGTATTTTTTTCAAAAAATCACAAATGATACGAACTTTTCCATGCATGTTAATGCTTATCCTTCTTCTAAGATGAGATGTTAATTTCACAACAGAAATTTTCCTTTACGTCTGCTTCATTGAAAAGCTCCCAATGCAGACTGGACAGGAAATATAAAAGCAACCAATCAAACAAACAGCAAATGTGCACCCAAAAAAAAAAAAAAACTCAAAACCATATTATGACAACTCAATAGTAAATAGTTAGTTGTTCTGTCCTACTACCCTTTAAAACCTTCTTTTAAACAAGAAAAGGATGTTTTAAAAGAAAAGCTACAGAAGTAATAAAACTCACCATATTAAGAAGCCGGAGAGCAGCTGGCCTAGTGAATTTTCTTGCAAAAAGGAAGCATGAGGAGGGTTTTCCCTTGCTGGTGCACCATTCTCTACGGTACTCAGTCTCATAATAGATATTGTCTATATCCTGCAAAGTTTGTTAAGAGTTCTATTACACCATTTCTCGATTCAATCAAAATAATTCGTGGTTGCCAACTTTAGCAAACAAATACCTCAAACTTGTTCTGATTAGATTGCTGATTATTGAATATTAGTATTATTACCATGACAAGTGATGAAAGAAGGAAAATAACAAGATTCCTAGTTTATTTGGGGCTAATGGGCATTCTGATTGCCAGTTTATTTGGATTTGGGCTCCATTAGTGTCAAGAAGTTGAAATCAAAGAACAATCTAAGAAGAAAATTGCAGGAGACATACGGAATATTTGTTTCGCAGAAAAAGGCATCTTCAAAAATTAGTTAATTCCCTTCCTTGGGGATTAATGTAGAATTTTCAATCTGACAAGCTCGTACTATTTATTAGTTTGTGACATACCAATTCAGCCTTAAAGACAAACAGAAGAAAGCGAATAACTTTGAAGACTCAGTTCTTGAAACCTATCAGTTGAGAGCAGACATAAACATACCTTAATAGATTGGATCAGTGTGGTAGTGGCATCTGCTAACTTGTATGTCACAGGATGCCATCCCCGTCGTTCACGGTCCTTGGAGGATGAAAGATCCCATGATGTATGAGTCAATGTCCTCCGTGTGATCTCCCCTTCAAGTCCTTCTTGCTGAATTTTAAAAGAAAAGAGGCTTGGGAAAATTACATAAAAACTAAAAATCTTTCAAAAGATAAGCAAAATCTCTATTATCCATGCATCAGATATAAGTGAAAATGGCATGCCCAAGGTCTCATAGCGGATAGCTTTTTTTCTTCTCATGATCTTTATCTACTATATTGATCTTAATTACTTCTTTCAGACAACTTTGCATGAATTTTTTCTTTTGGTTAGGAACACAAGTTAAAATCACAAGACACCAATCAACATGTGTGAGACAGGTCAGGGTGAAGTCAAAACAAAGTGATGATGGTAGTTTAATTCAGCAGCATGTCCAAGTCCTCTTCCACTTAACCCTTGAAGCACAACCACAGCTGCTTTTTCACAATATCGCTTCTTAGAAACCCAAAAATTGACTAAAACATATTCTTAATCCACTACCTCAGGACAAGAATAAAAATCAGTATGAAGTGCCAAAAGTATCGTAGCTAGTGTTAATGCAACTATCTGCCATTAGCCAAGGCCCACAACCAGAATATCATGCTGCCCAACTGGCAATGGGATATCACCAAGGATTGACATGTCCCTCGTGAAAAGGAAAAAAACAAAAGGTTGTGTGCATATAATGCCCAAATAGAGATCACAAAATGAGGAATCTGACTATTTTATGCAGTAGTTTAGACCATTATAATATTAAATTAAATTAAATACAATAGAACTTAATTTAGAGAACTAAATTCCACAAAGTTTTAAAGAAAATGGTCTCCACATCATAGAAATGCTGTGATTTGAAATACACTAACTAAAAGATATGTTCTTTAAGATTATGATGTTTTTTACTCCACTAAGCCATAAATTAAGTTGGTTTTTCCTTCTTGGGGAAAAGTAGAAGTTCAATTATTCTTCTCCTAAAACGAGGGTCGCTATAGTAGAAAGAAAGATCAACTTACAGCCAGTAGTGTCTGAACATAATGTTCATCTGGTATACAATTATGCTCCTTGGATGCATCATAAGGCTGCACATGACAAGAATCTTTTAAAATCTAGAGTGAAAATTCCATCTCCTAATAAAATTTTCAAACAATTGTTCTTCATACTGTTGGCTATTACTTCAAGACCAGATGCTATATATAAATCAACCGCCATTACAGCAAGGAGAGAAGACAAATTTTGTATGAAAATATTTTGTTGGAAATATACTAAGTTGGAAAATTGACATTGGGACAAAAAAAAAAAAGCACTCACCAGGGGATGATCTCGCCAAAATTCAGGTAGTGATTTCCTCTGCATTATTGTCAAAAATAGGTCAGTCAGGTAAGTGACAAAACAATAAGTCCTCAACAACAGACAACTCCGAAAAAAGAAATCTGTGGAAAAATGTTATCAAAGAAAATTATCATTATTCAAGTTTGATATCATAAATTTCTAAAGAGTGTGCAATTGATGGTTCAGGAGGAACCTATGGATACTCAGTACTCAGAAGACACTTAGGCAAATTTAGATGAGCAGTATTACAAAGAGAAAAATAAGGATGTCGATATCAAGTATCAAACTGAATCCTAATTCACCATGTGTGGGGTGAAAAGAACTTCAAGCAGAATTTCCACTCAATGTTTCAATCTTCTTATATTCAATTAAACAGAATTTCCATACTTTAAGGATGTCAATATCAAGTTTCAAACTGAATCCTAATTCACCATGTGTGGGGTGAAACGAACTTAAAGCAGAATTTCCATGTAACGTTCCTATGTTCTTATAATCAAACATAATTTCCATACAGAAAGCTCAACAAGAGAACTCTAATATCCTAGTGATTTTGCATTCAACTTGCCTTGCAATGCCTTTGAAACAAGGGAAAGATCGTATCATCTTTCACTATAATCTCAGCATGTTTTCTGGTAAGAACAACCCACTGCAAGAAGATAATTCAAACTGAATCCTAATTCACCATGTGTGGGGTGAAAAGAACTTAAAGCAGAATTTCCATGTAATGTTCCTATGTTCTTATAATCAAACATAATTTCCATACAGAAAGCTCAACAAGAGAACTCTAATATCCTAGTGATTTTGCATTCAACTTGCCTTGCAATGCCTTTGAAACAAGGGAAAGATCGTATCATCTTTCACTATAATCTCAGCATGTTTTCTGGTAAGAACAACCCACTGCAAGAAGATAATGTAACAGATAAGAATCAGACAACTACAGTCTGCAGTAACATTGACTAATAGATTATACTCTTTTTTCTGGTTTTCTATTGAACTTCAGGAAGCAACAAAATCAATGCATTGAACTCTTATGGGACTTACCTGAGATCCTTTCCTCCAATTACGAACAGGAATCACAGGATGCATTTTCGGATTGTAGCGGCCCTCTTTCGTATCAGCAAAACTGCTCCACCATTAAATTTAGAACAAATTTACGAGTACTGCCTTGAACTCATATTCCAATAATATAATGTTCTATATAAAGCATAAAGCATAAAGCACATACAACAATTAGAATTCCAAATTCAAAAGAGTTATCAAAGCTAATTGCCAAATCTCTGTGCAGCTTGAAATCAATACAAATTTCTTATTAATTGAGGCTTCAAAACATTCTTTTAATGGGGGAGAGAAATCAGCCCACTCACCTGTCCACAAAACTAGTTGGTGTTGACATTATATAGTCATATGTATAGCTGAAGTTGTATAAGGGTATGCAGCTGAAACAAGATTAAGTAGATGAATTAAGACTAGGTAAGATGGCCAAAAGAATAACTTCTATTCAACAAAATATTAAGTGGCAACAAAATACTTGATGCGCCTTATGTCACGGACACGGCCCTCTTTCGTATGAGCAAAACTGCTCCACCATTAAATTTAGAACAAATTTACGAGTACTGCCTTGAACTCATATTCCAATAATATAATGTTCTATATAAAGCATAAAGCACATACAACAATTAGAATTCCAAATTCAAAAGAGTTATCAAAGCTAATTGCCAAATCTCTGTGCAGCTTGAAATCAATACAAATTTCTTATTAATTGAGGCTTCAAAACATTCTTTTAATAGGGGAGAGAAACAAATGAGTCAGTCCACTCACCTGTCCACAAAACTAGTTGGTGTTGACATTATATAGTCATATGTATAGCTGAAGTTGTATAAGGGTATGCAGCTGAAACAAGATTAAGTAGATGAATTAAGACTAGGTAAGATGGCCAAAAGAATAACTTCTGTTCAACAAAATATTAAGTGGCAACAAAATACTTGATGCTCCTTGTGTCACGGACAATTAAACACCACTTGATCAAATAAAATATGTTTCTTTTTCAATTTTTTCACCTCCCATTCTCTCTCTATATAAACAAACATAAAAATACTCGCTTAAAATCACTGTACAGAAAAATAAATGAATGATAGATAGCAGCCATCAGCTCACCTATCTGAAAGAAAAAGAAATCGTTTATTAAAAGGATCCAAGAGTGCATGCTTCAGCAAAATACGCTCTGCCAGGATCATGCTTGCCTCTCCCCAATCTACCTGGAAAGGAACAAACTTGGTAAATATAAGATTCCAAAACCATTATTGATTTTTGTCTGGAAGGAGAAATTTCTAACAGGTCTCTCCAGTGTCCTTCCATATAAGGAGGCAAAGCAATTAAGTAGACATTCATATAAAATGCCAGATAAATTATATTCAATCCTAACAGAAAGAAGATTTACATTGGTTGTTGGCTGAAAATAATTTCAACTATCAGACTATTAAGCCAGTAAAAATAAATAAAAGTTAATCCTGAAGTTTTCAACAGCAAATCATATTAACATGAAAACATGAATTACATAGGTTAAAATTAGCAAAGACATATAACTTGCAAAAATAAACTGTAAATCCACAGGAAATAAGCTAACCCCAGAATTAGTTACAGTCAAACAGAATTCACTAGAAATCAAGCCAAACACTACAGGACTGAGCATGAACAAATGACGAGCACACAATAGCTACTTTGTCAAAATCTTCTAGATGCATCTGGCAATGGTGTGATGAAATAGTAATTTGCACTATCCATCATGCATGCCCTTTTAAATATTCATAAATTTAAAAGATGAATTGCTACTAGTCGGTCTAAACTAACAATTTTTTAGCTAGTCTGTCAACGCTAAGTGCATGGTCCTTTTTTAAACTGGCAAGGGATGAAGTCAGAGCTATGCATGGGCCCTAGAAGTTATGGTTGAACAAGAGTATAGAGTAAAATTTAGAATGCTAGAGAAAACAAGGACGAGTTCTAACCTAACAACCTGAATGAGTAGTTTAGAAGATTGAAGAATACGAACAACAAAAAGGTAAAAAACATTACTGAGCTACATGGTGTACTTATGTCATTGCACAATCCATGGTTTTGCAAAAGACCTAACCGCTATGTTACTAAGCCACCTGAGATGAACCTTTACTCCCCTATTGAGTGTTTTAACCTAAGGATGAGCAGAACAAGCTTTAATTTCAGTTCGGATAAATTAATATGCATCAAACAGCTTTTGGGCAGGTAACAGGTTTCCTACTGGGGTAGTGTGGGACAGAATCAGCAGGATCCCTTCAAGAGATGGTGTGCTTACCATCTTGGTTATGTCACCAGAAGATATATTTTTGAGGAAAACGAAAAAAAAAAAAAAAGAAGGGATTTACACAAACACTGCACGTGAGAAACATATATTTGCTGAGGCAAAATTTGACTGCCTAGATTACTGCAAGGTAAAAATTGTGTTCGTTCACGTGATAATCTTTTGTCTTCCCATAAGAGAAGGTTTTATGCTAATTACTAAACACTTGACAGAATAAGCAGAAACACAACCAATACTTTTGAAGCAAAGGAGCTTTACGTTCTTCTGTTACAAACACCTCAAAAGAAAAGAAGATGGGTAAAAATTTTGAATTCAAGAATAAATGTTCCGAATAAAAACCTGTATGCTGTCATTAACTTGACGATTTAAGAAATAGGCTGATCTTGTTGTTGCCTTGTTGAACAAGAACCCAGGCCTAGAGTGAACAAAAATTGAAAATTTATTCTCTTTATCTCCCTGCAAAACCGCAAAAGTGCTTCTTAAGATGTAAATACATTTGGTTGCGCTAATGAAGCATATAAAGTATTGTATGCAGTGCTCAAGATACAGAAAACAACTTTTTCAATGCACAACGAAACATGCTTAGACAAATATAGGGAAAAATCAAACACCAACCCTCCCTTTCTCCCAAATAGAAAACCCTAATCCACTCATCTACTTTACCCTAGCTCACTATGAGGCTTTCATGATATAAAAACAAGGCATATTGTTAAAGTAAAATCAAGTGAAGATAGAAAAGCTAAAGATGTTGAACAACCCAACAATAATTCTATTTCTTTCAATTCAACATATTGGAGTTTAAATTTTAGCCCACAACCAGTTTAAATCATAACTGCTTCTCAATAAAGAGATAATCAACCATAGGTTCCTAAAAAAGCAACAATCTAGACGGAGCCCAGACCACCAGCGATGATTGCCCCATGCATGCCCACACTGCCTATCTGACCAACACCTTAACCTTTTCAATAATTATTACTATTAGCTTATGGAAGTAAGTAGTAACTCAAAATCCCATCCCATGTCACTCCCGTACATCCAACACAGGATTAGGGGCGGGAGGCAGGGCAGTGGTTGAATGGCTTGCGCTTATTCACAAAAGAGAATCAACAATGACATTCATTCACAGGAGCTTCTTCTCTATTATTATTATTATTATTAATTTTATTTTATTTGGAGAATGGGGGGTGTTGTAGGATGAGCTTCTTCATGGAATCACACAAGCAATGTTGAGGGAAAGATTGTTGAATTATGATTCTGATATGGCTCGCAGATCTATTCCCTTATGTAAGTAAAGTAAATAACCATGTTATGGTGGCCTAGTAACAATACACATTTATAACAGACAATACACAAGCACACAGTGAATTTACCACCATACAGCCCATACTTGGCATGCAAATTTCAAAAAGGCCAGTAAAGCTAATATAATGTGATAAATTGCTGTTCAAACAATTTCCAATGTGAGCAATATATATTGTCATAATATATTGAAAAAAAAGAAAAAAAAAAAAGTGATAAGAAAGTTGTTGATGAAGTCCAACAAGAAGCACTTTAACATGGAGAATTACCTGAAAGAAAGCATCCCAAACCATGACCAAAGGAAGCCGATTCCGAGCTATAAACAGAAACGCAATTTTAGGCTTCCGAACAGACGGAGGAGACAAAAGAGCAAACACTTTGATTCGACAGTACTGTGCCTCCAGTAACACTAAACTCGCAAAGCAAAAACCCAATAAAAGCAGTACAAATACTCTTCTCTTCCATTTGGGATGAAATTTCCTCGGACTAACCTTTCGCTTCATTTGGTTTCACTCTCAAGTCAACTATTTCGAACCATAGCCACAATTACCATAAAGTTAGGGTTCAACTTCCCCAAAAGGTCGTACTAGTCTCCAAAATTTGCTCAAAGAACTGAAATTCTTAAGCAAAAAAATCATACCAAACCTATTTACTCTGAAAAAACTTCAATTCTTCAAGCAAATGATTCTACTAAAACAAAAAGTGTTACTTTTGCCTTCTAGTTTGTAATCACTTTTCTCTATCCAGATTTTCTATCTAGTTTATGAATTCACCTTCTCTCTCCTCTCTGCTTTCTCTCCCTACAACAACACAATAATTTCTGTCGCGTCAAGTTCAGGCGAAGTTGATCATCGTCACCGAATTTCAGTCCAAGATCTAACCGAATCCACAGAATGTGAAGAGTGTTTTGTATTCAAATCTTGATGGCAATCCGTGAAAATTTTCCCGGAATCGAGAGCAAATCGCGTCGATTCCGAGAGGAAAGTTAGAAGAAGATGGTGAGAATCTGTAAGAATGAGATTGATGATGGAATTCTTCGAGATTGTTGCGCAGAGAGAGAGTGTGTGTGTGTGTGTCTTGCAGAGAGAGAGAGAAAGAGAGAGGGGCAGTGAGGGTGAGTGAATGAAAACGAGAGAGAGAGTGGGACTGGGTGCGTTTGGCTTCTGGAACGAGCTTCCCGCTGGCGTGTCCTAAAAAGCAGTAATGTGCTCTGTTGCGTGTGGTGCAGGGCAGCGGATCAGATCCCTTCTTTTCCCCTCATTAGTTGATTTTGGACAAATTACATATACCTTCCTCGTTTGACTAAATTACAGATATTTCTTTAAAATTTTAAAAATTACATCCCGTCCCTCAGGTTTGTATTTTCATAACAATTTGTTCCCTGAAATTTATATTTTATAACAAATTATCCCCTAATTTATTATGTAAATATAGCATTCAGAAAAAAATTTATGATTTCTCAAACCTCAGAGAGGTATTTATAATTTAGCCAAACTTAAAAGGGTATATGTAATTTGCCTGTTGATTTTTATTATGTCATCTGGTAGTTTCATTTTCGCAGCTGTTAATTTGGACCTTTTTTTAAATAAATTAATTAATTTTTAGCTGAACAATCATATGATTTTCATAATTGATCTCTAATGTTGAGATTTGTTGAGGCTAAACCCATGTGCTAATTGCATTCTCATAGCTGTTAGCTTCACCTTGTTTTAAAATTATTAGGAATTAATTTTTAGGAAAATTCAATCTTGTTATTAATAATTTGAGAATTAAATACTAGTATTAAAAAATGAAGCTACTTCTTTAATGATCAATTATTATGTTAAAAAACACATCATTTTTTTTCATTGTCAGTCAAAACTCAATTATTTTACTACCAAGAAGAGTATGTAACACAAAAGGAAATGGAAAGAAATGTTATTCTGAATTTTTGTAAGACCTCGTTTGGCAAGTGACTTTTTTAGTTAAAAAGTCATTAAAAAATCAACAACTCATATTAAAAAGTCAAAAATTCTCTTTTTTCTTTACTTTTTGCACATCTTTTCGTAAAAAGTCAAAAATTCATCCCGAACATATTAGTTTTTTTTAACTCATATTTTAGCCAAATAGCCAAGTGGGTTGGCTTTTTGGCTTTTTTAGCTATTTTAGCCTGGGCTAAAAAGCTTGGTTTGAGAAAGATTTTTTGACTTTTTTAATTTTTTTGTGAGAGAAGAGTGTAATGATTATCGGTTAGATGTGATGTTTTGTTTGTTGTGGTTAAATTAACTTATTTTGTCTTTTATGATTAAAATAGTCAAAAAAACTTACAAAATTCCTTCTCAAACGGTACCTAAATTAATTTGTTCCAAAACGGGGCTCATTCTTTACCAAGGATGGCAATAGGGCAAGGCGGGCAATGAATGACAGATTTTTCATTGGGACGGGAAGAACCTGCACGGCATGTACGGGATGCAAGGCAAATCGTGGTGGGAAAAATTGTCATTTTTATTTTCAACAATGATTCATTCCATTAAAAATATCATTACTAATAGTATTAATGCATTAAAAAAGTTAAAAAAAAAATAAATACAACTCTAAGACCAAAACATTACATCATTAATGACGGAACCCACTGCTACCTAATTAGTGGGAGCACTAATTAGTGCTCCAAGCATTTTTCTTTTATTTTTATTCTACTTGGTGATGTATTTTTATTTATTTATTTTGTTAAAACATTTTTAATAAGTGTCATTGAAATATAAGAGAAAGATTAAAAATAAAAAATAAAAAAAAGTGACCAATACAAATCACTATTGAACAATTTCAAGGCACTTTTCATTAATTTGATTTTATTTTTGTTATATTTTTTACTATTTTTAAAATATTTGTTCTTTTTATACAAAACTCAATATTAAACGATATTCCATACATACTCATTAATATTTTTCTTTTTATAATCAAATTTGTCTGTATTTGTTCTTTGTTTAAAAAATTGTAAGTTCTGATCTTCTTCTTTTTTTTCAATTATATATTTGTCACACGATAAATTTTGTTTTTTTTGTACCTATGTAAATCCATACATATCATGTACATATTTAAGATGTGTAGGTCATTTTCACTATAAAATTCATAAAATTAATCTAATAATATAGCCCTGTTTGTTAGAGCTGTGGGAAAGTGCTTATAGCTTATACCTTAACAGCTTATAGCTTATAACTATGAACATAACCTGATTTCTGACTTATAAATTAAACTTCTTCTATCCCACTCAAAGAATAAGTTGATTTCTGACTTACAAAAAGCTATAACCTGTATTGTTAAGCTAAGCCAAACACATCAAAATAACTTAAATTAAGCTGAAAGCTGAAATAAGTTGAAATTAATCTGTACCAAACAGGGCCTATATAACATCTCTCTTATATGTATATATTGCTTGTGTAATATTTTATAGTTAGAAACCATGCAAATATCACAAACTATAAAACTGATTAATCGTGGACCAACGAGAACGATAACAGATTAAAAATAAATAAATTAAAAATAAATATGTTGCTTAAGCATGTTTCTAGCGTGTGGTTAAATAAAAGCATTATTGAGCTGGGGAGAAGTAGATGAGATTCGAATATAATGTGAGAGGAATAGGACAACTAACACATTTTGTTTTTAATAGCTTCTTTACATGGATTCTTCAGTTTTTATTAATTACACGGATGATTGAGTGGTAAAAATTTAAAAATAAAATGTAAGATTTTAAGTTCAATTCATTATAAGAGATCATTAAGAAATTGTTGTTTTGTAACTCTCTCCAAACTCAAGTTGGTTTGTGTCTAACCTCCTTGAGTTTGAGGGGGGCTGTTAATGTACACTAAACCTAACCCACTAACCTAACCCACTACACCCACTCAACTCCACTAAACCTAACCCACTCTACCTACCACCTCCACTTCACCCCTTACCAGCACCACCACAATCTGCTACCTTCTCTTCTATATATAGGAGTTGTAATCAATATACACACATCAATCAAAATATCAATCAATAATACATTTATTTTAACATCATGTACATATTTAAGATGTGTAGGTCATTTTCACTATAAAATCCATAAAATTAATCTATTAATATATAACATCTCTCTTATATGTATATATTGCTTGTGTAATATTTTATAGTTAGAAACCATGCAAATATCACAAACTATAAAACTGATTAATCGTGGACCAACGAGAACGATAATAGATTAAAAATAAATAAATTAAAAATAAATATGTTGCTTAAGCATGTTTCTAGCGTGTGGTTAAATAAAAGCATTATTGAGCTGGGGAGACGTAGATGAGATTCGAATATAATGTGAGAGGAATAGGACAACTAACACATTTTGTTTTTAATAGCTTCTTTACATGGATTCTTCAGTTTTTATTAATTAAACAGATGGTTGAGTGGTAAAAATTTAAAAATAAAATGTAAGATTTTAAGTTCAATTCATTATAAGAGATCATTGAAAAATTGTCTCACTATTTATTTATAGATCCTGAAGTTAGGTGTGCACAAACTGATTCCGACACCTAATTATTAAAAATATTATATTCTATTAATTTTATAATTCAAACTATTTTATAATCATTTGTAGAATTTTTTTTTTTTAAGGTATGAAATATCTATACTTATAATAAAGAAATTGTAGTAGTTACAACATCTCCAATAGCAAATGCTATAATAGCATTGTCATTGCCAAATTATGACAATAAATAGTAGCATTTAGCTGAAATTATAGTAATGGTGCTCCAATGGAAGGCTGTCATTTACGCCATTTTGGTACAGAAACTAGTGTGTATGGGATGTTCGGACGTCCCACACATACCAATTTCTGTCTTTCATTTTACAAAAATGACAAATCTGAGAGGAGGGAGAGATGTTTTGTTGAGAGGAAATGAAATTTTTATTGTGAATTGACAGTTATGACAACTGTCAAAACTTGTGTCAGATTTGATAGCTATCATAACTTCTTGTTGAAGATAAATTTTTATGAATTGTTATCATAATTTAACAATAGTAACTCTAATTATTTGTCATTAGAGATGCTGTTAGCTTAGCTAGGATAGTTGCTATCATTAACGATAAAAAGAGAGGTGAAGGGTTACATCAGCATGTGATTTGGTAGGAGGAGGAGTCATTCATCCTCAGTCATCATTAATCCCCTACCTAGAAATTGTTTACTTCCTCTGTCATGTAATGTAATAAGTCAGCCTAGTCATGCCTGTTATTGAATTATGTATTTTAAAAACAAAAATAATAAATAATTTGAAAACATTTATGACCTGGCGTTATCCCAAATATTTGTTGATGAAGCAACACAAAGTTTGAAGAATTTTCAAATCGTTATTATCTTACCATGGAAATCAAGAAAATTGCAAAGTTGTAACTACTTTATAAACATATAAATCAACATCTTATCCATTGAATCTGTGGACTCAATCAACCCTGATTTTTCTTTTTTGGTTCAATTTCCATTTTTTTTTTTTTTTCTATACTTTTTTCCCCCCTTTTTTGATTAGGAATGAATTGTCAATGGAACTGCACATCATCAAGATATATGTATATCGTTCTGATGAAAGTGAAATTTTTATATACAGATGTTTATATATCTATGCTCAAGCCCATAGCTTTAATCATTTACATATTTTAAATTAGCATCTATCTAGGGAACTCATTAGCCCAAGATTTCATGAACCCAGTTCCAAATTCTTGAGAATCTGCCCATCTGCAATTTCATACTTGCACTTTCTCGAGCCTCTGCTTGGGCTGGGGTTTCTTCTTCAACAACAGTTTGCTGTGCTGCGATTTCAGTAGCATTTGTATGAATTTACATGAGAGTAGCATGAGACACAGGATCCTCTGTCCCAAAATCTCCGTCTCTCCCTCCTCACAAATACTCAGTAATTATTAGATCATGTTTCAAGATTTTCACACTTCAAAATTCTCACATCATCCAATGGTTATCAATGTTTTGGAACAGAGAGACAAAAGATTTGGAGACAGAATTGTTGTTCGTCACATGAACAATTGCAACCCTAAGTAGTCTTTATTATGAGAAGTTATTTATTAGGCTCGGTCTGTTAGGTGGTTGTATACCTACTTAATATTAAGAGGACACGTGATCATGTTGCCTAAAAAAAATAACAAAGTTGTCTTATGTGTTTTGGTGTAATTGGATTGGCATATCAAGTGTATAATAGGTAAATCTGATCGGATAATATTTATTTTTTTATGTACTCAAAAAACTAACTTCAAAAACAAAATATGTAGACCCAATATATTCTACGTGTCGCTTACACTACATTAAATGTGAATTACTAATTATTATTATTAATAGGAGATAATAATGAGAAGGTGAAGAGAGTTGTTACCATTTCTTTGATGATTTGTAGCTTCTTGTTGGAGCTGCTTGTTGAAAGCCTTGGCTGCCATGAAAACATCTTTAGGCCTTTCCCAGCCTTGTCCAAATACTCCATACCCTTCTTTTGGTTGAGGCCTAATTAAAAATTCAAGCACTGCCAACTCTTCTCTCTCCACCCAGTGGATGCAATTCACAGGACATGAATCAATTGACACCTGTGTAAATTGTTTTGCATACTCATTATCAATTTTTTAATAATTGATGACAAATGTGAATCACAGATAATATCATGTGATTGTTCCATATCCAACGGCTTCAATTCACAGACTCCATGTGACAGTGCATTTTAATTACCTGTATATTTCTCTCATCATCTCCGTATTGAACTTTGACTCGTGCGCACCCAAGAGCTTCATCCATCATGAATGTGTTGTTCGCATGGTGGACGCATTCTGTACACCCTGCATCCAATTTAAGATATGTTTGAATATTAAATTTAAATGAAATTCACAGTTTGGATAAAAATCTAGTAAAAAAAAAAGAACTGCATTTAACAAGTTGATGCATGAATTTTTGGGGGTAGTTTAGTTAGTGACCTATGCAAGCATTTTCATCAACAAACAGAGCATGGGGTCTTAAAGGGCCATTCCAAGAGCTGTAACCCAAGTCAGTGACATTTCTCCCAAAACTAACTCTCAATTGGCCAATAGAAGAATCATACTCTCTTCTCAGACCCTCCTTTATCAGCACCTTATAAGCCTCATTCAGCATTAGAGTATATTCATGACCCTGAAACATAGATTTGGGAAACCATTCAATTCTTCATAATCACAACAATAATATGGGTATTTTTAGCTTAAATAAAAGGATTATGTTAGTCAGTATGGTTATTTTTTGTGGATTAATTCTATGTACTATAAATATTGAAGAACAAATTATGCAGAAAAATTTAAAAACAATACCCTAATAATTTTTTTAATTTTTTTTTTTAAAAAAAGAAGCCATATATAGCATGTTTAGACCTTAATAAGCTGAATAAATTAAAGCATACGAAAAGAATGGGACCTTTTGGCCAGCAATATCTGGGTGATATTTCTTTTGCAACTTCCTGTATGCTTCTTTGATATCCTGGGTACTTGAATCCACAGAAACACCAAGCAACTCATAGTAATTCTTGTCTTTTCTTAATCTTTGCTCAGCCCTCTTACAACACTTGACCACAGTAGTCGATCTCTGCCACCTCCATCTTTGGAACATACAAACAAATTAGAGAGAGAGTGAGAGTTAAATATGATTGCTTTGTTGCTCTGTCCTTGACAGTCAAGCTTTGAGTGAGATTACCTGGAAGTGGAAGTGGGATTGTATGGAAAGAAATGGTGATGCCGAAATTGGTTTGGTACAGTGAACTGATAAATTGAGACTATAGAGCCCAACATATTTCTTGCTTGTTGGATACAGTTGCTCTGTGATTGAAATTTTGATGTTCACTTGGGAAGAAGAAGAAGAAGAAAATCAATGTTGATATTTTCTTTTGGTTGGATTATGATATTTTGATATTTTCCATCCTGTTTTTTTGTTGCCTAAGGCAAATCCGCTTTCTGCTATGGCCCATTGACCCTTCACACTCAACTTGCTATGCAATGCTTTTTTCCCAGCATGGACAAGTAGATTTTTTCATATAATTTTTAAAATTTCTAAAATTATCCCAACATTAAAAAAATTAAAAAAATTAAAAAAAATTTACACTATCACTATGGTTCTATAGTTATATGTTAGATACTATGATTTACACTTATGTGTAAAAAAAAAAAAAGAGTACGGTTATCAGAATTCTATCAATTATTTTAAATCTTATATTTTTTATTTATTTTTATTGCAATAATAAATTCAAATGAAATTATCAAAAATGACATTAATAATTTTGAGACATCTCATCTCACAATTAAGCTCACACATCCACTACATCATCAGTTAGGATTTATTAGAGCATCCACCTACGTCACCACCTATACATCTTCTCCAAATCTTACTTTCAAAACCTACCCCCTCGCAAAGCTTTAAAAACTCTTTGGCGGCAATATTCTAGCGGTAATGATGACAATCATCTGATTACCTACACTTTTTCCAACAATAACAATTAGTGGAAGTTTTTTCAACAACCACAATTCTATGAGACGAGAGAGTACAACAATAAAAACTCAGAGGAGATTCATAACCTTAATAGTGTTGTTAACTCAGAGGAGATTGGTCTTATAAGGGTAAGTTTTTTTAAAAAATAACAAAAATAATAAAGACTGTTCATCATTTTTTCGGGGCTAAACTCCTGAACATATAACCAAAATTCAGAAAAACAAGCCCAAACATTGTTCATTTGTTCAGGAACAGATAATCAAACATTTCTTATTTGTTCGGGAACAGACATTCGAAACTCATAGAGATTGCAGAACCCACAAAAGGGAAATTTTGAATCAACAACAAAAAACCTTATATTTATTTTCTCAAGTTATAAATAAGTATGTGGAGATGAAATAGTAATCACCTTCGTGGATTTTGTTAGGGTTTTTGGGAGAGAGGCTTTTTGGGGTGTGGGGGTGTGCATTCAAGTGAAATATTTTCACAAGGATAGTTTTGATATTATTTGGGGGGAGAAATTTTTTTTAATGGTTTTAAAATTTATAAGTGGGAGTCTAAAATAATTGATGGAATACTAATAGCAGCACTCAAAAAAAATTCATCTTTTTATTTATTTATTTATTTTAAGTACTCTAAAATTGAAGTAAGGATGCGTTTGTCTATTTACCTTTCTTTATCACCATTAATTCCTCCATTCGTCATTTTTGGCCATTCCTACTGTGGGGACATAATTTTTGAATGCAAACGCGTGGCCGAGGTGACATCGAAGTGTCAGCCGAGGTGTCACGTGTCTTGATCATGATGCCGAGATGATCTCGGCTAGGCCGAGGTTATCTGCGAGGATACCGGAATCCGGGATAAGCAGATAAGGGACAAGAGTCCTAGAATGGAAGAAAACTTCAGTTTGAGTAAAGATAAGACTCTTAGAGAGTTTATCCTGATCCTACTAGGAGTTCAAGATTAGCAGTAATCCTAAGTCCATTGAAGCTAGGCTTCTACTGGGACTAGGTTTGTGTTAGCTATAAAAGAGAGGCACCCTCATGGGTCTGAGGTATGTCTTTTATGTTTTGTCTAGTGAGTTAAGCACTATTGGTTATCTTTGAGAGATATTTTACTGACTTGATTGTCAGAGTGCCCCCGGGTGGACGAACAACTGCGGGATTCTTATATTTCTGTGACAGGTTGTTTGGGCTTAATCTATTTTGCCAGTGTTTCTCCAGCTGAGTGCTTGATTGGCAGTGTGCTTAGAAATCAACACACATAATTTGGTGCCCATTTGTGGAAAAGAAAGGAGAATAGATGGCCAACGACGGACAGAAAGAGAAGGTTAGGGACGACACCCCTATTAAGAGCGGGAAACATATTGACCTTGACGTCGAAGAAGACAACTGCAACGAAGAGATTCGTGATAAGAATCACGGAGGAAAGGACGTCGGCCAGGAGGGCGGCGTACTGAAGAAATCGGACTGGAGCGGGTATTATAACGAGGACGACCTCCAGGTATGGAAAGATAGATGCTTGTGGAGGGACGACGAGATGAAGGGAATGGCAGACAAATTGGTGGACCTGCAAACGGTCGGCAATTTCCTGATGCAGAACAACTTCATGCAGCCACCGTTCCCACTACAAGATACGCTGATTCCAGCAGCCAAGAAAGGCGCCCAGAAAGGGGGGCAGAAAACGGTTCCTGCAGTCCCTCAGAATAGCAAGACCAAGGGACATTCTCACCGGCCTTCGCGGGAGGTCGAGCATGGAAAATCCCAGAAGATACGTCGAATCAAAGAAGACTGCACCAAAGAACATCGGGATGTTCAAGGGGAATGAACTCTGTTTCGATACGACCAATGGAGGGAAGTCCAAAAAGACCCATAATGAAACTGGGAGTAGTGCACCGAAAAGGCTGAAGTTAAGAGATAGCTGAGCTCCTGGATGGACCAAAGAGGATCTGGGGGATCACTTACAAAGGAAGCAACAAGATGCTGAGGTAACCTCCCCAGTCAAGCCGAGAAAGCTGTTCTCAGTAGAATTGGACAAATTCGAAGCCCCGAAGAGGTTTAGCATGCTGAGATTCCAGATTTATGACGGTAAGTTGGACCCCAACCTCCACGTCGGCTTGTACCTAAACTCGATGGCATTGTACACCGGGAACGAGCCATTGCTCTGCAAGGTGTTCCCCTCATCCTTCGGAGAAATTGCATCGGACTGGTTTCATAAGTTGCCGAAATGAACTGTGAAAACCTGGAAAGGTCTGGCCGAGATGTTTGTGGCCAGGTTCGTGACAAACAATCTACAGCCATTGAGAGTGGACGCCCTAATGGCCTTGAAGATCTGCGAGGATGAAAGCCTTAGGGCCTATGCCAAAGGGTATTATGAGGTATTCAACCGAATACTAGGACACAACCAAGAGGTGGCGGTCGTGTCGTTTAAAAATGGCTTGAAGGATGACTGCCTGCTTCGAAAATCACTAGCAAAGACATTGTCGAAAAGCATGGAAGAGCTGATGGCTAGGATAGAAAAGTATGCCAGAGCCGAGGAAGACACGCCAGGGACAAAGGCGTCCAAACATGAGAAGAGAAATAGTTCACCGAAGCGAAGCCGAGATAACACTGGATACGAGAAGACAAGAGCATAGCCCAAGTGAGCAGATCCCAGGTTTCAGATCTCGAATCGCAGATCCCAAAAGACAAGATCTCAGCCTAGATGATTAAGTTCGAGAAGAGAAGGGCTTGGCCTAAGTTAAAGAATTTTTATATAAGGTCCACAAAGGAGTATAGGGAAACCATGCAGGGGGCAGATTCCTTGCCCATAGAGCAATATCGTAGGGATTCTTTTGGCCTTACATGCAAAAGGAAGCTGAAGCTTATGTAAAAAAGCATGAAAATGCTTTGAAATCCACCTGCAACGTGCGATAGAACAGCAATTCGACTGGGGGCATACCAACAACAACTTGCTAGCACTTACAACAAGAAGGTCAGCCCAAGAGAGTTCAGAGTTAGGGACCTCAGCCTGAGAAAGGTTGCCGGCAATGGGGCATAACGGCTGAAGCAATAATAAAGTGCTAGTTTGATTTTTGAAATCTGTGCGATAGGACCGACCAGTCCTATGACGATGTTTCTGATTGAAACATGACGAATGACTTAGGCTTATTGTATGGCAGAGTAGAAACTTTACTTGCATATAATAAAGTTGAACTAAGTTGGGTTAACCTGGACTTGTTATATCGGCAAAATCAGACACAGATTAGAGCTAAGTGCCTTAGTAAAGAGACCAAGGTTAATAACCTCGGCCAGTCTTTGTTCAAATCTTACATCGGCGACGAGGTCAAAGTCACGTGCCTAATAAGACCCAAGTGGAACTTAAGTTCACATTAGGGGGCAAAGGGCTGAAGAATAATGCTTGGAAGTTGGAATTTCACAAGCTAAGATTGGTTTAGACACTTGTTGAAATTTAAGTTTACAAGTTGAAGTTAAACCGAGGATGTGTTTAACATTTGTTGAAATTTAAGTTTACAAGTTGAAGTTAAACCGAGGACGTGTTTAACACTTGTTGAAATTTAAGTTTACAAGTTGAAGTTAAACCGAGGATGTGTTTAATACTTGATGAAATTGAAATTTACAAGTTGAAGTTAAACCGAGGTCATGTTTAACATTTGTTGAAATTGAAATTTACAAGTTGAAGTTAAACCGAGGACGTGTTTAACGCTTGTTGAAATTAAAGTTTACAAGTTGAAGTTAAACCGAGAACGTGTTTAACGCTTGTTGAAATTTAATTTTATAAGTTGAAGTTAACCGAGGTTATGTTAAAAGAAGATTGGTTTAACACTTGTTGAAATTTTGAGGAAAAATTACAAGTTAAGCCAAGGTTATCTACATACTTGCCTAGATTACCGTGTTGCCAAGACTTGGAAGAAATTTGAAGACAGAAGTCTTGCTAAGAGTGAAGTATCGAGTTGTAAATAACACTTGTGAAAATATTGTAAAAAATATTTTCAAGTGTTAAGCTGAGGCTGAGATAAACCGATTAGTGGGTACAACCGAGGCGTTACACCCCGAGGAGATTGCACAGTTAAGGTGTATTTTGAAGATATGCAAATTATTTTAAGTATAGAATCATACAAGAGTAAAAAAAAAGGCACATACAACCACGTTGAAAGAAGAAATTAAAGAATGCATTTAGAAAATGAAATAAGACACTTTGGCCTAACATTGAAGAATGATTGTTTAGATTACAAAAAGGCCGGTGTGAAGTACGCGTGGTGTTAGACAGTGGTGGTGAGCAAAGAAGTGCAACAAAAGCCTCACCGAAGGGAGAGAGTGAAACTGGTTACAGAAAGCTTCGCAAAAGCAGTAATGGAGAATTTAAGAGAGAAAGTTTGAACAAGAACGAAGATGCAGAAGTGAAAAGACGAAGAGAGAGTTGATTTTGATCAAAAGCATGATATGGTGGCAAAATGGCAATTATAATGCCTTGGACGACGTGCTTGTCAGACGGCGCACGCAAAAGTGATACGACTTGATGGCGCGTATCAGGTACGGTCCAGTAGGGGAAAGACATCTAGTAAAAATAGTTGAAATACTGTACGTACCAACTTATACGCGTACTAGAACTCTTAGAGTTCTTGATTCAATGAAGCAAATACCTCAGCTAGGAGGACGGTTTCGACTGAGAAACTTGAACGAACTTGGTTGTTGGTTCTAAGGCATTTATGAAAGCAGACTATATGTCTTGGTCATATTGAGCCGACGAGTTCTTACTTCGGCAATAGATGATGAAGCGAGCTTAGCCGACGTGCTAAATAGAAGAAATGATATAGGTTCCATCACCTTAGGATGCTGAGGTAATAGAACCTAGGGGGTAGTTGTGGGGACATAATTTTTGAATGACAAAACGTAGCTGAGGTGACACCGAAGTGTCAGTCGAGGTGTCACGTGTCCTGGTCACGATGCCGAGATGATCTCGGCTAGGCCGAGGTTATCTGCGAGGATACCAGAATCCGGGATAAGCAGATAAGGGACAAGAATCCTAGAATGGAAGAAGACTTCAGTTTGGGTAAAGATAAGACTCTTAGAGAGTTTATCCTAATCCTACTGGGAGTCCAAGATTAGTAGTAATCCTAAGTTCATTGAAGCTAGGCTTCTATTGAGACTAGGTTTGTGTTGACTATAAAAGAGAGGCACCCTCATGAGTTTAAGGTATGTCTTTTATGCTATGTCTAGTGAGTTAAGCACTATTGGTTATCTTTGAGAGATATTTTACTGACTTGATCGTTGAAGTGCCCTCGGGTGGACGAACCACCGCGGGATTCTTATCTTTCTGTGACAGGTTGTTCAGGTTTAATCTATTTTGCCGGTGTTTCTCCAGCTGAGTGCTTGATTGGCATTGTGGTTGGAAATCAACACACACACCTACCTTCTCTCCTATTGATTTCGCGCCACCCCCACTCCTACAGAGAGAGTTACAGTAATGATCGTGTAAGAAAAATTGATAGAGAGAGAGAGAGCAAGTGAATAAATTGATGTATTATTGATTGATATCTGATTGTTCTATATATTACAATGATTCATGATTCCTATATATAGAAGAGGGTGAGTGTGTAGTAGGTAAGGAGTAGGTGAAGTGGAGGTGGTAGTGGTGTAGTGGGTTAGGTTTAGTGGAGTAGGTGAGGTGGTAGTGGTGTAGTGGGTTAGGTTTAGTGGATGAAGTAGGTGATAGGTTTTAACAGATCGCCTATGAGAAAATTAGAGAAGAAGAAAAAAATATAAGAAAAATAAAAAGAAAATGGGAAAGATATTTTTGATCAAACTAAAGCCATAGTCTGTCTATTTAAAATTATTTTCTCTCATTACACACGGTATTATTTAAAAAAAATTTCTACTAAGTTGGTAATACATTTTTCATTCACCATTTTCGTTACAATGGTTACTTTAAAATTATTGTTTTTTAAATGAATTGGTATATCATTTTTTTTTGGTTATATTCCCCTTATTTATTACAATGGTTAGTTTGGCATCTTCCAAAAAATCAAAAAATTCAAAAAGTCACTATCCTATTTAAATCACATCATCTCATTTAAGTCACATCACCTCTCTAACACATCACTTCAAACCCAATGCAAATCCAACCCATATTTCATAAAAAGTCAAAAAATGCACTTATTTAGTCTTCCCAAACTTGGCCTTAAATTTGAAAAAAATAAAAAATGTAAATAGAAACATACAAATAAGAAAGGGAAATTACAAATTAATATAAAAGAATAAAAATAATTACAAACACATAAAAATGCAATTTTTTCTATGGAAAAAAAACCGCACCAAAAATTACACACCCCGTCTATTGTAAATAATTTTTGGTCATACATACCACACTTTCTTGTAATTCTCCAATAAGAAACGGGCATAACCGACGTCGTTGCACCAGACACGATAGCAATCCCTTTTGGTAGGGCTGAGTAAGGAATCCGTGAAATCCGTAATTCGATTCAGTCCAGTCCAATCCGATAGGTTTGGATTGATTTTTTGAATCCGTGGTTCGGTTCCGGATTGAATAATTAAAAATCCGTAGTTCACGGATTGGTTCCGGATTGAATCCCACGGTTCCGGATTGGAACCGATCCGGACCGTATACAAATAGTCTATATTTTTATTATACATCCTCCCCCATAGTATCTTTTCTTATTCTATGTAAAATCTAAACTCAAACTTAAAACCGTATAATATCTTCTTTTATTACTTTTGTTTGTTAGTTTTAAGTTTTAATTTGCAATGGTCTAAATATTTATGGTGAAACCAGTTTTCTTATGGTTGTTTAAATTCTAGAACAGTATGTCGTTATTATAAAAAAACATGTTGCTATTATGGAACTAATATAGCGCTATGTTTATATTTTTATGAAATTCAAGTGTTATATATATATTTTTGTTATTTAATTATGTGAATCCGTGGTCCTAAACCGATCCAATCCGTATTTAAATGGATTGGTTCGGATTGGTCCTATGATTTAAACGGATTGGATTGGTTCCAATTTTTTAAGAACCGTAAATAACGGATTGGTCCTGATTTTATCCCAATCCGATCCGATCCAATCCGGACCATGCTCACCCCTACCCTACGAAACAACGGAAAAGGGGGTTTCGAAGCCGCCATTGGCATCGAGCTCAAAGGGTTTGTTGTTGTTCGGAGAAGATGATGGGGATGGTACAGTTGCAGTAACTACAGAGATGCAAATGGCGCTTACAGTAAGGTTGTTTCTACACCCGATCAAGGCATCTCTCACTTCACTCTCCTCCTCTCCTTCATCATCATCCCTTTCTCGTTCAACAATCCCGTGTACGTTCCCGTCTCTCTCTCTGCCTGTCTCTCTCTAAATGCTTTGAATTCAAATGAATTTGTTGTTGTTTGGCGTGTTTGATTTGTGGTTACTTTACTTCTCTGGTTTAGTTTATGGAAGATTTGAACCTTTGAAGACATGTGTAAAGGGCCTTGAACCTGTACTGCTACAGAATCACTGTCGAAGAAGCTCTCACTGGAAATTGTATGTACAAAGATGTTATGCGAACAATTTCTGCAATCCAGGTTAGTTGTAAAATTATATATGCTGTAAATTCTGCGGATGTACACAAATGAATCTATCAGTTTATCAATTGAAAAACATGTATTGTGTATTCTATAATGTTACTTGTTTTGTTTCAGAGACCTTGGCTTGTTAATTAGGGCATATAGGCTAGGAAGAATGGATACGGATATGGATAGATGACATTGAAAGTATGCAAGGAATATGTAAAATATGTAGTTATAAATATTTGTTATATGTCATCCATATGAAATTATGAATACTTCATTCATTCAAAGAATAAAAATGCAACATGATACTAATTCCTAAATTAATAAGTTGAAGAAATTTATATTAATTTTCTTTTATCATTCAATTCCAATATATTTTCTTCAAATTTGTAATGCGTTTTGTGTATGTTTAAGTGTATCCGAGTATTAAAAAACAAAAATGATAATAGGGCATGTATGGGCGTGTCTAACGAGTGTTGGTGTTCAACATGGATACAATACCTTCTTAGAAAAGTGTTTGTGCAGGTTTCATATTACTGAATCATCTTAGGTGAATTCCTTGTTTTTCTTCTGTTTTAAGGATATGTTCTTGTTTGTCTTATTCATAAGATTGCCAATGTCTTCATTTCTGCAGTGTTTAGTTCTGAACATATGTACTAATTGTTCCTGCATTTTATAATTTAGAGCACATTGGTCTCGTAGAAGTCTTCTAAAAGTCTCTCTTTATCTTGAAACTTGAAAGGTTCATGTAGTTCAACCAATAGTCTTTTACTGATTCACTTCAAAGGTACTTTGTTAGGTTATATGGTGTTTGAAACAGACCCTTCCTTTATTTAATAATATTTTTAAACTACTTTCCTCATGGACTGCCATAATCAAGTAGCTTCCAATTCTAATGTATTGCCTTGCTTATTTCAATCGGCTGCTGTGCATTTTATCTTTCAGGATTTCTTATTCATTTATTATCTCACCTAACTCCTGATAATACTTCTTTTGGAAATATTGATCAACTTGCAATTTATTTTAAGAAATCATTGGGGTCATCGTCGCAGCCGTAGCCTAATCGAAGAAGTTGAGCTTTCAATTTATGTGTCCATCAAAGAAAATATATATATATATATTTTTCCTTCAGGCAGATTTCTATGTTTCTGTTTTGGTACTTGTTTGTCTTGATCAGCCGTACTCTCAATGTGATGAATGGTGCAGGTACATGTTAGAACTTTTGTTTATATTATTTTTCACCCCCATAATTTCTTTGCAATCTAAAATTGTTTTCATTTCTTGACTTGTTAGCATTATGGTTATTATCATAACTACTGCTAATACTAATGTAGTGTCATTTGTCTGCACATATCACTAATTAGTTCCCTGAACTGTGGTTGAACTCAAGTTGAAATGCAAGACTTTCTTGCTGCACTACATGCCTAGTTTTGCTTTGACTTCTTTAAAACAATGTTTGTTTCTCAGTTTACTTAAACAATATTGCCATGATGGCATTCTATCAGGAAGGAAGTTGGTTATGGGGAGTGTATTTGGTGCATCGGTTGTATTTGGATGGATCTTCCTTCGACCACGTGTTGCGTATGCTATGGATGGTGAGGCAAACATGTTTCCTCACACAATGGATCCAAAATATTTTAATGAGTGCTGATCAATTGTTAATTTTAAAGATTTTTTTGGGTGTGTAGTGCTTGCCTCTCGGAGAAGTCTGACATTGTGATCTTTTATGATGTAGGTTTTGATGTCTGGGGTGATGATCATCATTTTGACTTGTCAAATGCTTCAGATGCAGAAGAAGATGCACGCAATTTTTTGGCATTGGCTAGAAAATTGTTGCTGCCTGTTTTTCTCTTCTTAACCGTGATGATGAATTGGGATCACCCTATCATTCTTGCAACTAAAATTATTCTTATTCTTGTTGGTACAAAGCCAAGCCCCTTCTCAGTGTACCTGTTTATTGAACAGGTAATGCAACATTTAAATTTTATTTGTTGCAGATATGGAATTCATAATTTGACAGATCTCATCAAAACTTTGTGAAATATAAACCATAATCACATGAACATAAATGTGGAAATTGTAATATGATGGACACTGGGCTGACTTCAGAAGCTTTATAGAACATGAACTCCTGGACATATAATATAATATAATATGTCTACAATTATCATTATCATTATTATCCATACTAGTGGGTTAATACAGATGAGGATTTGGAAGATAAATAGAGATCTACAAAGACGATCTCTGTAGGACAACCCTTGGGGGATGTTTGTAGAATGAAAAAACTGTAGCTTGGGGCTGCAATTTTTATTTTGGTTGAAATTGTTTGGCTACAGTTTTGTTACACTGAGAAAGCGGGCTGGTCTCTACTCTAGTATGACGCACATGCCCAATCAATGTGCTACATAACCAGTGTCGCTTTGAGTTTTTCATCTTTCCAAATTCATATTTCTATATGATACATGTTTGATTATGGAATCGTAAATATTTAAAGTCTTATTGTTGACTATTAGGCCTGAGTATGGATGTAAGAATAGTTATTGTGCACTTTATCATTGGTTTAGATTTACACATGCGTCAGTTTGTTTATGAACAACTCATTTGAGCTATAAATTTGACAACTGACTAGATCCTCGATTCTTGGGATTACTGGAAATTAATCTCTTGGAGCAAGAATATGCGGAGAACTGTCTAGAAACCAATTTTCTGAACCCATCTCTCTATTATAACATGAACAATAAATTTGTTTGTATGGAGTCAAAGTTATTGCCCTATGTGCACGTATGAATGTTTGACATGGTTTTTCCTAACATGCAGTTGCGGCGTCAATTTATGCGCCAACACCCTTTCTTGTACAAATTTAAGGTGAGCACTCTTGCACTTCTTGTTATATATAATTGTCTTAAAACTTGCTGGAGATTTCATTGAGATTCTATCTTTCTTGATCATTTCATTATTGCCATTGTCTTATATTTCACTCTTACATTATTTTCTTATTCACTAAAGATTAAATTGGCAGCAGTATATTGTCATTGTCATTCTTTTAAGTACCACAGATTGCTCTTTTGACTACATGCTGGTATTTCCACCTGGAACCTCTGCTAGATGCCAAACCAATCCCTAGTAGCCTTAACTGAATATCACTTAATGGGTTACCCATTTCCTCAACCTTAGGAAGCAGGCTTTTTTGGTCACTCGTACATCCATTGCCAACAAGCAATCAGTTGTCTATTCTATTATTCATTTAGATGACTTTTGAATTAGTTGCATGTCCTTTGGTCATGTAAACATATTTGCTTTGGATGCAAATCATTCAATCTGTCAAATAGTTCTACAATGCAATTGAGCTTTCTACTGTTGAAACCGATAAAAGACTGTCGAAACCGATAAAAGTGAAATTAGTCTCCTTTATTTGCACCTGGAGTTTATTTGTAGGTATTGGAAGCACTAGGAGACCTAGCAATTTTCCCTGGTCTGCAGTGTCCTTAGGCTTTAGTCTTCTGTTTATCCACAGATGAAGTGCAGCATTAACAACCTTTAACTGTAGTTACTTTGGCCCACTTCTTGTAATATGTTTGGTTCTGCAGTCATTATATGCCAAGAAAGTTGAAGTTGACGACTACACATTTCTCTGCCTGGCACGAGTTGAATTAGAAGATCAGAAGTTCACTTTGATCGGAATTCTGGGTAGTTGGTGGGTATTGCCATGGTCACCATGCCAGGGAGCATTTTCCGTACTTAGGAACAAAGTTCTGCAGGGATAGAAATGGAGGTACCTAGTGAAAATTGCTTTGTTAATCTCAGTTATAGTCAAGATGTTAATCTCAGTTACATCATTCAGTTTTTTATTTTTTTGACTTCTATCAATTTTGTAAATTAATAAAATACTAAAAAAAGTGTTTCATCAGGCAGATTGTTTTACTAAGTCCAGGGAAGGTGCATGCAAGAAAATATTCACTGTGTTTGGTTTGAGTTTTCTGGATTAAGTTTTTTAAAAACTGAATTTTTTAATTTTCGTGTTTTTTTGTTTTTAGTGAATATTTTTAAAATTTTAAACATTTTTTTTACTTTTTTAGATACACCTTACTTAGATGTGTCTAAAAAGTAAAAAAAATGTGAAAAAATATTTTAAAAAATTAAGAAATACATAAAAATACAAAAAATGTACTAAATTCTTGTATTTTTTTTGTATTTTTGGTATTTAGTGAATTTTTAAAAGATTTTTTTTACAATTTTTTTACTTTTTAGGTGTATTTATATTAGGTGTGTCTAAAAAGTAAAAAAATTACATAAAATATTTAAAAAATTCAGTAAAAACAAAAAAATACGGAAAATAAGAGTGTAGAATTTTCTGAAAACTGTTTTTAAAAAATGGGAACCAAGCAAAGCGGTTCCCATTATTTTTTCTAATTTGCTGTCAGATACAAGCTCTAAATTACAATGTTAGGTGACGGGAATATTTGATAGCCATATCTCGGAGTGTTTGAGATTACACTCTTTTTCCTTCTGGTCATTCACTCGGTAAATAAGTTTTTCGTATCAGTTTTTGTTCTTGTTTTTGTTTTTCTTTTCCCCTTGTGTTTTCGGGAACAGAAAACAAATGATACCAAACGTGCCCTTGCTACCACATGCAGGTTGTTATGGGGTATACCAGAGTCTTATTCACTCAAACACTAATTTATTATCATTATTAGGCCGTAGGGGTGGGTAACGGATATACCGATTCGCCAAAACCGACTGAACCGAACTGATCCGTCGCATTTTGGACGGATGCGTGATGACGAGCGGACAGTTGCAGATTGATTTTCTCCAATCCGCCAATTTGGCGGATGGATGGCGGATTTGAGGTTCCTTTGGTCGCAACCGAACCGCCAAACCGCGAGTACCCTTAGTAATTTATAAGATTTTGTGTTTTCAATTTGTTTAAATATTTTGTTTGTGTTTTCAATTGAAAAAGAATTCAAATATTCTGTTGAAAAAAAGTTTTCAACTTGAATATATTTTTTGAATTGAAAAAAATAAACGTATTATTTATCTATATTTTTTGATTTTTAAATCTAACTCTAAAAGTAATAAATAGAAAATATGAAATATGTTGGTTGGTTTTAGTTTTCAAAACATATATAAATGTAACAATACAGAGACATACAATCTCAACTATTGCTCTGTTCATGGTTTTTGTGGTTTGAATTATTTTTATATTTGAGGAACCACAAATTGTAATACTTTATATGGATGAGGCATGCTGTGATTGTAATATGTGGATGAAGCATGGTGTGATTGTAATATGTGGATGAGACATGCAGTGATTGTGATATTCTAAAATTTCAAACTTTCTTTCTTTGAATGAGGCATGTAGTAATTGTAATACTTTTTTAAGTCATTGACTGTAATATTTATTTATTTATTTTTGAAGAAGTGCATAAGTTGAACTATGCTGAAATTTTATAAAATTTCAAACCGCTAAATCGATTCGCTTTTCCCTGGTCTGCAGTGTCCTTAGGCTTCAGTCTTCTGTTTATCCACAGATGAAGTGCAGCATTAACAACCTTTTACTGTAGTTACTTTGGCCCACTTGTAATATGTTTGGTTCTGCAGTCATTATATGCCAAGAAAGTTGAAGTTGACGACTACACATTTCTCTGCCTGGCACGAGTTGAATTAGAAGATCAGAAGTTCACTTTGATCGGAATTCTGGGTAGTTGGTGGGTATTGCCATGGTCACCATGCCAGGGAGCATTTTCCGTACTTAGGAACAAAGTTCTGCAGGGATAGAAATGGAGGTACCTAGTGAAAATTGCTTTGTTAATCTCAGTTATAGTCAAGATGTTAATCTCAGTTACATCATTCAGTTTTTTTTTTTTTTGACTTCTATCAATTTTGTAAATTAATAAAATACTAAAAAAAGTGTTTCATCAGGTAGATTGTTTTACTAAGTCCATGGAAGGTGCATGCAAGAAAATATTATTTTTTCTAATTTGCTGTCAGATACAAGCTCTAAATTACAATGTTAGGTGACGGGAATATTTGATAGCCATATCTCGGAGTGTTTGAGATTACACTCTTTTTCCTTCTGGTCATTCACTCGGTAAATAAGTTTTTCGTATCAGTTTTTGTTCTTGTTCTTGTTTTTCTTTTCCCCTTGTGTTTTCGGGAACAGAAAACAAATGATACCAAACGTGCCCTTGCTACCACATGCAGGTTATTATGGGGTATACCAGAGTCTTATTCACTCAAACACTAATTTATTATCATTAGTAGGCCCGTTGGCAAGTGGTGATTTTAGTTAAAAAGTCAAAAAAATTACAAAAAAAAATAAAAAGCCAACAATTTATATCAAAAAGTCAAAGATTTTTTTTTTTTTTTTTTTTTTTTTTTTTTTTTTTTTTTTTTTTTTTTTACTTTTTGCACATCTTTCGTAAAAATCAAAAGTTATTCTAAACATACTAGTTTTTTTTTTTTACATTATATTTTAGTCAAAAAGTTATTAAAAAAGTTTGTGCCCAAATGAGGCATTATTATTAGTATTCTTTATTTTTGTTGAAGTCGTCATTTTGGGGCACTACACGCACTATAGGGTTTTGCACTAATAGGATCAACACTCCTTACTAGTTTTAATTTTTATCAATTTATTGTTTTTAATTTTGGGTCTAAAAAAATTGGGTGGGTAGGTCATCTCTAATCGTCACTTAAGTAAAACTTCGTTCATTTGATATGACACAACAGTAAACACAATCTAATTTCTGAGTTTATGCATTAAATTTCTTAATACACCTGCTGCATGCATTACAACAGTTGCAGTTTTGTAAAATGTAATATATATATATATATATATATTTTATGAAAAATGTGGGCATGGAGAAGAAGCTTTCCCAAATTTTTTTTCAATTAAAAAAAAAATCCCATAATATTCAAGAGTGTTAATTTGTTAAATAAATGAAGCAAATATATCCCTGGGTCATTTTGAGTCTACATTTGAGTAAAAAAACAGAAGTAAAAAAGAGAGAAAATTCAATTTGTTACATTAAGGAGTTGTTTGAGATTACCTAAATAAGTGCATTTTTTGTCTTTTTACGAAAAGATGTGCAGAAAAGTAGAGAGGTGATGTGATGGAAAAAAGATAAAAAGATAAAAAGATAGATTATTTTAGAGTTGCCAAACTTGGCCTAAATTTAAATTTGATGAATAAAGAGTTAAAGTTTAGCTAATTATTTCATCAAACTTGTATTAAATTAAGAGAATATCCAAATTTTCAGTAAATTAAAGTTAAACCAAATCTTTTATCAAATATTAAACAATCATATTTGTATTTAAATTTGATTAATTTTTTTTTAAAAAAAAGTAAAAGATTGCAGATGGTCTCATGGGTTCGTAAGATACAAAAGGCAACGGCAACTAGGGTGTTTATAATACCGCCAAAATCACACCGAGCCGCACCGTTAAGGCAAATTCGTTATTATTTGTCAAATAAATTGTCGGTTTTTGGTAAGAAAAATAGCAAATTCTAGTGACACTTCGCCAGTTTCTATTTTTCTTCCAAACCGCACCGACCCGCACCGCTATTAAATCATGTTTTATAAGATTCTAAAAATTCTTTTTTACTTAAGTTTGCTTGTTGTTCTATACCTTAGAATATAGTATTACATTATTGCTCGAGGCGAATTCAAGTTGTCAGTAATCCAAAATAAATTTGGATTCCAATTCACTTTTCAATCTTTTTTTTTTCTGGCCATGTTGCAAATTTGCATCAGCTCACTTTTCAATCTAAATACTTTTCAACAGTAAACATTTCAATATATTGTAAATCCTGAATGATATTAATTTTATGTATTGTATTTGATCATTGTAACTTCCACAGATGCTTGTAATGAACTGATGGCATAGTCATTGATATTATCATGTTGTTGCTACACTTGCTGCATCAGAAGAAAGCTTTGCAAGATGCTTAACATCACGGTATCTCTCGTCTTTTTTTTTACTCTTTGATTTAAGTTTTGTAATTTGAATTATATTTTTTACAAACCGCCAATCCGCCCGAACCGTCAAGGCAAATCCGTCATTATTTGCCAACCGAACCGCCGATTTTTGATAAGAAAAATGACAAATTCTAGTGACACTTTTATCAATCCGTCACCCGCCATATAATTTCTATTTTTCTCTCAAATCGCACCAACCCGCACCGCGCACACCGCTAACGGCAACGCTTCTTCTCTTGCCATAGCGCCTCCCACTTCCCGCGACTTCGTCTTCTTTTCTTCAATACTTTGGATATCTCACATTCACCGTAAATTCTCTCTCTCTCTCTCTCTCTCTCCATGTTAACAAACCAAGCCACCGATTTTGAGCCAATTTTCCCCCCCAACTACCTACCTTGACTACCTCTTACACCATGAAAAGTGCCTTCACAACCCTCTGTGCTATAAACCCAAGAAAAAGCTTCAATGTTTACATAGAAACAAGTTGTTCTCTTTTGAAAAATTTCTCCAAGCAAGGCTTGATCACTCATGGAAGTGCCCTTCATGGCCATTTGATCAAAATGGGTGCATCGTCAGAGAGATATATAGCCATTAAATTGATCATTTTCTACCTGATTAGTCGGAAATCTAAGGAAGTTGATCAGCTTATGAAGGAGTTTAATGGGTTTAATATTGTTGCGCATAATTGTTTGATTTCAGCCAATGTTGAACAGGGAAATTTGGACGAAGCTCGTAGGCTGTTTGACGAAATGCCTGAAAGGAATGAGGTCTCGTGGACTGCGTTGATTTCTGGTTTCTTGAGATGTGGAAGAGTGAAAGAATCAATGTGGTACTTTGAAAGAAACCCATTTCATAATGTGGTTTCGTGGACTGCTGCAATTAGTGGGTTTGTACAAAATGGGCTTAATTTCGATGCAATGAAGCTTTTTCAGAAAATGCTTGAATCTGGGATTATGCCGAATGATGTTACTTTTACTTCTGTTGTTAGAGCTTCTGCAAATAAGGGTGATTTTTGGTTGGGAATGAGTGTTTTGGGGTTGATTGTTAAAGCTGGCTTTGAACACAATGTCTCAGTTTCTAATTCTTTGGTTACATTAAGTTTGAGGTTAGGTGAAATAGATTTGGCTCAGAGAATTTTTGATCGAATGGAAAAGAGAGATGTTGTTTCGTGGACTGCAATCATGGATATGTACGTTGAGATGGGAGACCTGAGAGAAGCACGCCGGATCTTTGATGAGATGCCTGAAAGAAACGAAGTTACTTGGAGTGCAATGATTGCGAGATACAGTCAGAGTGGTAATGCCGAAGAGGCAGTGGAACTGTTCCACCGGATGCTTCAAGAAGGGTATACCCCAAACATATCGTGCTTTCCTAGCATTATAAGTGCATTGGCTAACCTGAAGGCTTTGCAAGCAGGGATGAATATCCATGGACATGTTTCAAAAATCGGGATTGAGAAATATGTCTTCATTAGTAGCTCATTTATTGACTTATATTGTAGATGTGGAAAAACTGAAGATGCACAGTTAGTGTTCGACTTGGTTTTGAAAAAGAATGTTGTTTGTTGGAACTCCATGGTGAGTGGATATAGTCTGAATGGTCAATTAGAAAAAGCTAAGAAGGTGTTTGACCTGATGCCCAAGAAAGATAATGTCTCCTGGAACACTATGATTGCTGGTTACTTAGAAAATGAACAGTGTGATAAGGTATTTGAAGTATTCAATCAGATGCTTTTGTCCGGGGAAACACCAAACAAATCTACATTCTCGAGCATTCTATGTGCTTGTGCAAACATGGCCTCATTAGAGAAAGGCAGGAATCTCCACGGCAAAATTTTTAAGTTCGGGCTTCAGTATGATGTTTTTGTAGGAACTGCACTTACTGATATGTATGCAAAATCTGGGGATATTGAGAGCTCTAAGAAGGTCTTCAATAGAATGCCCGAGAAGAATGAGATTTCTTGGACTGCTATGATTCAAGGACTTGCAGAAAATGGTTTTGCGGAGGACTCACTTGTTCTGTTTGAAGAAATGGAGAGGACTGCATCTCTTATACCCAATGAGCTCATTCTTTCAGCAGTTTTATTTGCTTGTTCGCATTGTGGGTTAGTTGATAAAGGACTTTGGTACTTCAATTCCATGGAGAAGGCTCATGGTATAAAGCCAAACAGCAGACACTACACCTGCTTGGTGGATATGCTGTCTAGATCAGGACGTCTTTCTGAGGCTGAACAGTTGATCGCAAGCATGCCATTTGAACCGGACGGTAACACCTGGTCGGCTTTATTAAGTGGTTGTAGTACACATATGGAGGAGAGGATAGCAGAAAGGACAGCTAAGAAGCTCTGGGAACTGGCGGAGAAGAAATCCGGTGGGTATGTTTTGTTGTCAAATATTTATGCTTCAGCTGGTAGATGGGTCGATGTTTCGAATACTAGAAATTTAATGAAGGAGAAGGGTTTGAGGAAAAGTGGTGGTTGTAGCTGGGTTGAGTTGAGGAATCAAATCCATCTTTTTTATTCTCATGATGGAAAACACTCTGAATCAGCAGAGATATATGGGGTTTTAGAACTACTGAAGTCTGAAATGCTGGCTGTTTAGATGTACATATTTTTCAACATCCATTTTCCCAAGTAAAATCAGAAAAAGCTTGATTCTCAGAAAGTTTTGGAGGTGACTAATATGAGGAAATTTTAACAAATATGAGTTCTGATTGCATGGAATGCCGTTCTGGAGCCGGTTCGGAGTTTGACGTAGAATTCGTGACTGACGGAAAAAAAGAATTTTTATTTTTTTATTTTTTATATGTAATCTATGTGTATATAATTTATCATATCTACACTTGAAAACATGAAATTTATTTTATCACATAAGATGTCACAAATATCATTTTTGAAATTAATGTAGCATAACAAACATACATGGACAGGTAATTTGTGGCAACAAAATTGCATTACCACGTGGCTAGTATTGTTGTGTTGTCATATTAATCATTTACTAATGAAAGATAGCTACCCATTTGCTAATCATTTTATTTATATTTCTTCTTTTTTCTTAATACATCTATGATCATACCTCAAAATTATCATATTTTAAAATTCTACAATCGTATGATTAAGAATGCATTAAAACCGAGAGACTGAATCTTTAGCCTCACATTTATCCTGATCAATTCATTATTTGCTTTAAAAAAAAAAGAAAAAAGAACATGACCATCAAAGATATACTAATCTTATTCAATTTAATAAGATGATTATAGTTACCAAATTAAATTAAAAAGGGATAAGAATTGCCACCACTTCATATGACAACGATGGATACCATCAAAGTAAGTGGAAAGTTGATAACATTAATGGACAATTTATGATAAATAATTCACATGAAAGCTACTCCCACTAAAATCCCCAGAAATATACAAGAATAAATAAATTGAATCACACCCCCCAAGTCACCTAACATTTGAGGGCCATGTGGCAATTGGGACCATTTCAACATGAACCATAAAAAGGTCAATCAAGACCCCAAAAGAGGATGGCCATCACTACCACCTTTCCTCACCTAAAAAAAGAAAACTAAAGCAAATATAATAAAAATTCTACATTACCTGAAAAATTATCCTGAAATTTTACCCCAAAAAAGCCACGGGTTGATGTGGTAAAATTTCAAAACAATTTTTCGAACATTGTAGAATTAAACAGTTTATTTGGTTTTGATTTTTAGATTTTTTTTTTCAATGAATTTTTTTAATATCTTAAGCAATTTTAAAATTTTTAGACACACCTAACATAAATAAACTTAAAGAATATTTGTGAAAAAATCTTTAAAAAATTTACTAAATACCAAAAATATAAAAAAAAGAAAGAAAAGAAAATTCAGTACATTTTTCATACTTTTATGTATTTATTAATTTTTTAAAAATATTTATTCACAAATATTTTACTATTTAGATACATTTAAGTAAGATGCATCTAAAAAAGTAAAAAATTGTTAAAAAAATTAAAAATATTCACTAAAAATAAAAAAATACGAAAAACAAATATCTCTAATTTTTTAAAAAATTGAATTCAAAAAACTGAAACCAAACAATAGGTATCCCAAAGTTCCAGCACTCAGCAAAATTGGCTGTCTGTTTTTCCAGCTCCAATCAAAACATGAAAGCCTTCCCTCAAAAACTTCAAATTCAAAAACCCGGGTTCGGTTCCATTAACCATCTGATAATGTGTTTGGATGGACATTCTTGAACATAGTGATTGAATTTACTTCAGCGTCAATTCCTCACTTTGCGATGGCCCATATCTAAACTCAGCATACTCGAGGACTCAGAAGAGTTATACGACACTTCAATTTTTGTCAAGGCATTGGACATTAAACTATTTATGCTGTATGATCTAGTAGAGCTGCGAGGGTCAAGCGCGCTAGCATTAAGAAAAGGAGGTTGATTAGGCACTGGAATTTCAAAGTCGCTGTGAATTAGCATGTGAACCACTTCATCCATTGATGGTCGGAGAGAAACTGAAGCCTGTGTGCATAGAAGTCCAACTTGAAGTACACGGGATGCGTCTTCTGCTGGAAAAACGTTTTTCAAGCGAGGGTCAACAGCCTCGGCCAATCTGTTTGTCTTGTAAAATTTCCAAACCTAAGGAGCCAAAATCAGAAATTCTCACATTTTCAAAAAATATAAGATTGGTCAATTCAAATTTGGGGTAAAATTTATGCATGAGGGGGTTCAAGTCTTACTGTTTGCGTGAGTGAACAAGAGTCCTCAATGAAGGCATTATTCTTTCTACCACAAACAATCTCAAGAATTAGTACTCCGAAGCTATAAACATCTGCTTTCTCTGTGAGCTGTCCTCGAACAAGATATTCAGGAGCCATATAGCCTCTGCAATGACAAAAGAGATGCATTGTTGTTTACCAAAAATAACTTGGGGGAAAAAAGTATTAAGACTAAATGATGTGGGTGAGCCAATTATCAAATACTAGACATGTTTTTTTTGTTAATTTTTCAGTGCTAAATGTTATAAAAAAAATGGATTTATTTCAATTTTTTTTGCTTTCTATGCAACCACATGGAAAGAAGTGGGATAAAAGAGCATACAGTGTTCCTGCAATTCCAGTGCTAAGATGAGACTTATCAGCAGCAAAACACCGAGCAAGGCCGAAATCCGCAATCTTTGGAGCAAGATTCTCATCGAGTAGGACATTGCTGCTCTTAATGTCCCTGTGGATTATTCTTGTTTCAGTCCCACCATGAAGATACGAAAGGCCCTCAGCCGATCCAACTATTATATCAAGCCTCTGCTTCCAATTTAGGCTTTGAACCTTGTCCTTATCTGGACAAAACAAACAAAAATGATTCAGATCAAAATTTTGATGAAAATCGGAAATTTTGAAAACATAGAAAGCAGAAATGATTACCAAAGAGGAACTGATCGAGGCTCTTGTTTGGGACGTACTCGTAAACCAAGAGGCTTTCTGGGCCTTCAATGCTGCAACCCAAGAGCTTCACAAGGTTCTTGTGTTGAATCCCGCTGATCAAGTTGACCTCATTGAAGAACTCATCTACCCATTGCTTAGTACTGAAAAACAATCTCTTAACCGCTACAGTTTCACCATTAGGGAGTGTACCCTTGAACACAGAGCCCGCTCCACCTTGCCCTATTTTCCTCGATGAATTGAAGTAATCTGTTGCCTTCTCAAGCGTTTCGTATTTGAAATTCAAGCTCGACCTGTTAAATGAAATTAAAACCTGTCCCAGATTGTCGCGTTCTGTGTAAAAGCAAGCCAAAAAAAAAATTGTGTTAAAATTTAGAAATTTGTTTTTATTTTAGATTATTGGTACTCTTTGGGTTTTCATATGATTATACCTTGTTTCCGCTTTGATAATCTCAGATAGCATGCATAACAAGCAAATAATGAGAGCATCAAGAAGGCTGTCACTGCCAAAGCAATAGCTACAATGACCCCTTCTTTTGAGGCCCCTGAGAAAAACAATAGATATTAAATTAGTATAACAAAAGAAAGATATTAAATTATGTTTACACTGAGCAATTAAATTAAAATGATGCTGACAGTGGATTACCTAATGTCACATTACCAAGTTATAAAATATTGAGGACAAAAGAGAGAGAAGAAAAAAAAAATCCTCAAAGCCACCATAGATTGAAAAAGAGGGTGCTGACAATGGAAAAGGTGGGTGAAAAAGGTAGAAGGAAGAAAATTGTGATACGCATTCAGATAGTGAAATTTGACAAAATTCTAAAGAAATGAATAATGCAAACCAGAAAAATAAAGTAAAGCAATCTGCAATCGAATTTTCCAAACAATCTTACCTCAATTTCGTCCAAAACACTTGCAAATACAAGACAGTATACTAATCCTAAGATCAACTCCATTACTACAATTTATTGGAAAACTTTTTGGTTGAATACCTCACTGTAATCAAGCAATAGATTTCACAAACACACCACTATAACTTCAAAAAACAGAACACCCATAAAAAGAAAAAAGAAAAAAGAGGTATAAGATCAAAATCACGATAAAAAAACACACATAAACTGAAAATCAATTTTACCTCCATTAATTGTAGCAAAAACACTTGCAAATACAAAAAAAAATAAAATAAAAAATACTAATCCTAAGATTAACTCTGCAAGTTCTTTATTCAACCAATAAAAAACTCTGCAAGTTCTTACATGATCAAGAACATTAGAACTTCAAAAAACAGAACACATGTACAAGAAAAAAGAAGTATAGGCCAAAATGACATGGAATTTTCAAAGCAATTTTACTTCAATTGTGGCAAAAACACATTCAAATACAAGAATCCAACAACAACAATTGACTCATCCAATAGACAGAGGGAGGACTTACCAGAACCATGCTTCAAATTTTGATTCCCAACATCGAAGAACTTAGTAGTCGAATACCTCAAATAACATCCAGCATTCAATCCTCTCCCTTCACTACTCGGCACGCACCCTCTCAACTCATTCGCCGCCTTCTCCAAGCACTCTCTACACCCATCTCTACTCAAAGTATTCCAACACTGCGCCAAACCAAACACACCCTTCACTTCCCCAACAGCAAACCCACCATTCTCCACCGCAACACTCGTCAAATTCACAACCAATTTACTCACACTGCTCTTGAATTCAACCCACGTCGCTTCAACAATCGATTCAGAACTGCTACAATTCACCTTATCTCGAACTGGGTCGACACTTTCATTGAAGAAATTGTATGTATCGTATCTTAAGAAGCAACCATCGAGGTAGATTCTGGCGGAAACGGCGGGGAGGCAGTGGGGGAGCCTGGTGCGACTGACGGCGTAGCAGAGGAGACAGTCGGTGTGAGAGAGGTCACGGTGGCATTGGGCGAGGCCGTAAATGGGTACTGTTGAGTTTACAAAGTGGTGGCCTGAATTGTTGGCGGTGACTAGTTCGGAGAGAACTTCCATTTCTTGGACGAAGTTTGGGATGTAGCTGGTGTTTTGCGGCGGCGTAGTGGTGCCGCAGAACAGACCGGCTTCGTAGATTCGGGGATCGGAGATATTCAATGAGAAGAGATTGATGAACAATAATAAAAACACAAACAAGCATGTTTGATGTTGGGGTTTTGGGATTGGCGAGAAATGATGGGTGTGTTTGCAATTGAAGATCATCATCATGATTTTGCTTTTCTCTGCAAAAAGTAGCAGAGAAAAGGTACGAGGTTGAAAGTGTGTAAAAATAAATGAGGATTTTGCTTTTAGTTACCAGTTTTGTGGAAGGCTTGGAGGGAAGGTGATTGATGAGACTGCCATTTTTGCTGTGAGAATTGGAATTTGAAGAGAGATTACATATGTTTCCTACTTTAATGTGTTCTCACTCCAAAAGCCATTTATTGTTATTTTTGGGTGGTTTCTCTACTGTTAGGTCCATGACTATTACGGGTGTCGTTTTGATGATTCTGAGAGATGAAAAAAGACATTTTTTTTTTTTTTATAGTTTATTATGTGGATTGGAGCATACTGTTAGACTCGTGAGGCTTATTACGAATTTTATTTTGATAATTTAAATTATTTAATGTGTAAAACTCTTCAAGTATTTTATATCTGTAAAAAATTAAGTTGATCGAATATCAATAACCCCTTAATTGAAATATATTTTTTGTCAATGGTAAGTATGATTTCAAAAATAAATTATTAACAAAAATGTGTTTTGATTAAAGGACTACCGATATCTGATTAATGTGATTTTTTGCAAAAATAAAATGCTCGACGAACTTTACATATGGAACGGTTCGAATTATTAAAATGAAATCCATAATAAACCCACAGACCCAACAATATAATCTAATTTACACAATAAACTAGAGAAAAGCATCCCTTTTCTTTCATATGCAACCTCGTAATAAATACTAATCAGTGTGTTTGGTTTGAATTTTTTGGATTAAGTTTTTTGAAAATTAATTTTTTGTTTTTCGTGATTTTTTGTTTTTAGTGAATATTTTTAAAATTTTAAGTATTTTTTTTACTTTTTTAGATGCACCTTACTTAGATGTATCTAAAAAGTAAAACAATTATGAAAAAATATTTTAAAAAATTAACAAATACATAAAAATACGAAAAATATACTAAATCTTCATATTTTTTTTTTGTACTTTTGGTATTTATTGAATTTTTAAAAGATTTTTTCACAAAAATTATACTTTTTATGTGTAATTATGTTAAGTGTGTCTAAAAATTAAAAAAAATTGTTTAAAATATTGGGTTTTTTTTTTTTTTTTTTGGCTCAATGAGTCATAAAAGACAGAATAGGTTCATGAGTTATAACAGATAAAACATCCCATCTAATCCCATAATTATTATACTTTTCTCTCACAAAAAAATTAAAAAAGTCAAAAAACCAAAAGTCCTGCCCAAACTAAATTTTTGAATCCAGGCTTATATAGTCAAAAAAGCCAAAAAATTAAAAAGCCAACCCACCTCCCAAACGGAGGCTACATATGTTTCCTACTTTAATGTGTTCTCACTCCAAAAGCCATTTATTGTTATTTTTGAGTGGTTTCTCTACTGTTAGGTCCGAGAGCATTACGGGTGTCGTTTTGATGGTTCTGAGTGATGAAAAAAGACATTTTTTTATAGTTTATTATGTGGATTGGAGTATACTGTTAGACTCGTGAGGCTTATTATGAATTTTATTTTGAGAATTTAAATTATTTAATATGTAAAACTCTTCAAGTATTTTATATCTGTAAAAAGTTAAGTTGATCGAATATCAATAACCCCTTAATTGAAATATATTTTTTGTCAATGGTAAGTATGATTTTAAAAATAAATTATTAACAAAATGTGTTTTGATTAAAGGACTACCGATATCTGATTAACGTGATTTTTCGCAAAAATAAAATACTCGACGAACTTTACATATTGAACGGTTCGGATTATTAAAATGAGATCCATAATGAACCCACAAACCCAACAATATAATCTAATTTACACAATAAACTAGAGAAAAGCATCCCTTTTCTTTCATATGCAACCTCGTAATAAATACTAATCAGTGTGTTTGGTTTGAATTTTCTGGATTAAGTTTTTTAAAAATTGAATTTTTTGTTTTTCGTAATTTTTTGTTTTTAGTGAATATTTTTAAAATTTTAAGCATTTTTTTACTTTTTTAGATGCACCTTACTTAGATGTATTTAAAAAGTAAAACAATTATGAAAAAATGTTTTAAAAAATTAATAAATACATAAAAATACGAAAAATATACTAAATCTTCATATTTTTCTTTGTACTTTTGGTATTTATTGAATTTTTAAAAGATTTTTTCACAAAAATTATACTTTTTATGTGTAATTATGTTAAGTGTGTCTAAAAATTAAAAAAAAAAATTGCTTAAAATATTAAAAAAATTCAGTAAAAACTAAAAAATACGAAAAATAAGAAAGTACAATTTTCTGAAAACTGTTTTCAGATAAACGAAACCAAACAAGCTAAATAAATTTGTTGTTCTGTTCACACTGCTCCATTTGTGGAAGACTATGAGATGATAAATTTTTCACACAAAACATGTAAGAGCATCTTTAAAGTTGCATTAAAATTTTTATCAAATTTAAGTAGAAATTTAATGAAAAAATTGATTTGATATAATATACTCTAATGGTAAATTCAAAATTTTTAGCAAATCTTGATACAAGTCCAGTTGTTCAGGAAAATGTTCGGGAGGATGTCTAGTCTAGTCATGAGTAAAAATTGACATTCAAATAAAGAAAACTCGATTATTCAGGAGGACGTCGAGGCGAACATGACAACTACCTACAAAATTTGATGAAGGATAAAAGCTCATTTGATTTGATGAAAGATTTGGTTCTCCTTTCATTTGATATCAATTTGATGAAAGCATTATAGCTGAGTTTTAATATGTTTGTTATCAATTTTAAATTTGATGAAACATTTGATAAATGATTGGAGATAGCGAAATATAAGAAAAAAATTATAAGTTAAAAATATTAATCCATTTATTTAAGTAATTAAGAGTTATGTGATGATTATTTAGTTTGGGAGAGTTACGTGTATCTCTTAATGGGTGAATTTATTATCCAATAGGACCGGTAAGAATTAATAATGTTTTTCATTAAACACTATTAAAAAAAAGTCACTAATTGTTAATTTTCAACGGCAGTTTGAAAATTGTCATAAAAATGTCATTAATTATAGGTTTTAGCGACAGTTTAAAAAAATTGCCACAAAAAGTAGCTAATTTTTAACTTTCAATGATAGTTTAAAAAAATCATCACAGAAAAACGTCATTAATTATAAGCTTCAGTAACAATTTATAAAAATCGTCATAAAAAAAAGTTACTAATTATTAATTTTTAGCGACACGTAAAAATTATCACAAAATTATATAAAAAATGAAATAAGAGATTTATATATGTTTTCATCTTGTTAACAAAGTGAGATGATGGATCTCACAATTAATTAGATCTCAAATTTTTATCAAATATAAGTTTTAGTAACAATTTATAAAAATCGTCATAAAAAAAAGTTACTAATTATTAATTTTTGCGCAAAAATTATCACAAAATTATTTTTAACGATGATTTTATTATGATTTATTTTTAATAAGATTTTATGATAATTAAATTTAATTATTAAGATCTATCGACTCTTGAGTTTGTTCTAAACATATTAATCTATTAAAGGGATTACGTTGAGAATATCATATGATATTATTATAGGATTACATATTGATTTTTCCAGACGAACTCAAATTTTTGTGTTAAAAATTTCATTTCTTGTGATAGCTTTTGAAGTTGGGTGCAGGAAAATGCCATACAATTTTTTTTTTTTTTTTGTCAGGATACCTTCACGTAATAAATAAATGAAGGATTGTTTGATAATATTAGCGTAATTAATTATTATACTTCAAATAATGTTAATAAATTTGAAAGGAGGAAAAAAAATAGGAAATTCAAATTATTTTAGTGTTTGATTTTTGAAAATAAATTAATATTTTGGAATAATAAAAAATGAAATAAGAGATTTATATATGTTTTCATCTTGTTAACAAAGTGAGATGATGGATCTCACATTTAATTAGATCTCAAATTTTTATCAAATACTTATATAAATATGAAACTAATACCCGTGTGCGACTTATATCATGTGAGTCTTTGATAATTTTTGTAATAATCCTAGCATTGCTCATTAATTAATTTTTTTGACTAATCATAAATTATTTGAATGAAAATTAATGTGGTGACTCCAACCAATTAATACTCTGGATATTATTAGCAAATTATTAATTTTAGGATGAATTGTACTTTTTATTTTGGGTTACTTGAGAATGAATTTACCATATAGTCGGTGATCGGAAATCGGGTAAATCAGTTAGGACCCACACGCTTATTTGGTAGGTACAAATCACATATAACCCGAAGCATTGGATAAATTACATTTTCTTCTTTTACATTTGGTAATTTTTTTACTTTGATTTTTAATTTTTTTGATTTTTTATGTTTTAAAATTTTCTCAATTTATACTTAATATTAATTTCTATTCAAAATTATATATAAAATATCATAACATAAAAAGCAAATTATTACTATATTGAAATTTAGATTTGTTTAGAGGTATGAATTATGTATAATAAAATATTTCTATACTAAGTGATTATTAATGTATTATTTTTTGTCTAATTTTAAACATAAATTAACGTTTAAAGTAAATTAAAAAAATTAAAATATAAAGAGTTAAAACAAAAAAAATCAAAATCAAAATAAAAAATAACCAAACATAAATGAGACAAATTATAATTTATCCATGAAACATTCATTACATATTAAAATCATCAGAATATGTACAATCAACATGAAGTTGCCATGCAAGTTACCCCGTTGCTATGGATATTTCTCGCGTTTAATATTTTTCTTCTAATAAAAAAAAAAAAAAAAAAAAAAAAAAAAACCATGAAGTTGCTATGCAACTTACCCCCTTCGACTACCCACCCAAAAAACTTACCCCGTTGGACCATCACATCATCATCTTATTATTATTATTTTTATTTTTTTTGCATAATCATCTTATCTTTAGGTTCTTTTAGAATATGGGTTAACTTTTTAGCTATTTTAATCTGGAATTAAAAAATTTTGTTTGGAATAGACTTTTTGATTTTTTTGACTTTTGTGAGAGAAAAAATAAAATGATTATGATTTGAATGTGATGTGATATTTTGTCTTATTGGATTAAAAAACCTATTTTATTTTTTTTAACTAAAATAACCAAAAAATCAAAAAGTCTAACATTCCAAACGAAGGCTTAATATCAAATGTTACATTGCGGGTTTAGAAATAGATTATTTTAATTAATTATTTAATAT